CTTTGGCCCTAGATTTAATTTCCTATGTACCTTAGGACCAATGTCTACATGTGATAATCTCCCTCATGGATGTTGTAAAATACATCACAATTAAAATTTTTTCTATATAGGAAGTTCTATCGTAACACCTCTTTTTGTCTTTTTCACATCTGTGTTTTTTAGTCTCTCTCTCTTTCTGTCTCTCATTCTTTACCCATACCTCGTCATCTCTAAAGTATGTTCACATCTCCTTACTTTTAACTAGCCAGAACAAAAAGTATGTTTAACTACTTATTATAGAAATATAATTTGTTCTTTTTAATTTAAAAAGCAAATGGATGAAATACCTTCTATATGTTTACTTTGATAAATCTAAATAAAACCACTTTATCCTTACATAACTCCATTTTTGCCTGCACATGAATAACTTGATAGGAGAAAGAGCCCATATTCCTGAAATAAACTTATGAAAAAAATGCACCATGGCCATTTCGTTTCGAGCCACTATCAATAAGAATTTCTTAAAAACTAGATTTACAATCCTCGGTAGGAGGATAACAGCTAAGCAAAATGAGTATGTGCTTGGTGAATTATAAACTCAGCATACTTTATTGGTTGATGCATAATATACCACAGTCATAGCATTTTAAGTAGAAAGTGACATCTGCCTCATTTTATAGATGATAGAGGTCCAAAAGGATAACTTGTACAAATGAGGAAAGTTAAGTGGCAAGAAAGCAAGTTGGCAAGAATCCCAGTTGAATGCACTTTCATTCATACTAGAGACAAGTCTGAGTTGAAAAGCTACCTTCCATTATGACTTGAAAGCTTGCCATACACATTTAAGGTGGACAGGTGATGCCGTACATACTGTGCCCAAGTCATTTTCTGCAGACATATACCATGGTCTTAAAAAGCCACCTGCACATCAGGAAGCACTTCACTGGGGGAAAATATCAACTTTGCTTCGTGCTAAAGGATGGCTACACCATACTGCATGAGCAAGCAGAAAAATGTGACAGAAGAGATTAAAAGTTGGGTCATTATTGGTATTTTTGGGCAGCACAGTCCAGTGTTAGGTTGTATAAATAATAGTAAAT